TCAACTCCTTTCCCACCATATCTCCTTTATGGTTTGGGACTTGAATAAAACTTATAATCCTTTTTTGAAGTTTACAATCATCATCAACCCAATGAGCAGTTAAACACAAATAACTAACATTCTGAATTGACCTCTGACAATCAATAGTTAAAGAAACTCTATGTTGACCCAACTCTTTCTTCAATTTCTTCTTCTCATTTATGAACAAATTATATATATCTCTTGCTACTGTCATCCTTGAAGAAAATACGAATCTTGGGAAAAAATACCTTGTGTAACCCTGAAAACCTTCATCCTCCACATGTCGAAACGATAACTCTGACAATATGAAATACCTTGTAATCTGTTCTCTAACTTCTTTTTGAGCAAACTTGACAGGTTCTTCATGACTATCAATACCCTTAGAAAGCTCTTCGATTTTAAACATATTATAACCAGCCATTTTCTTTTGGTTTTTGTCTTAAACTCTATATGGATACTTCTTGCACAAATGCATGATATGATTTCACAATGTACTAGTTCCGCAGTTTTTTGTATGATGCTTATATGTTTGTCCACAATAATTACATTCTGCCTTCTCATCTCCTCGAATTTTAAAATGATCCCACACCTCGGACCTTTTGTTTCCCTTCTTGCATTTTCCTTCCAATTTCATATCTTCAGGGTCATCCTCTAATGGAATTGCATCATCGGCTTCTTCTAGAATTGGAAAAAAAAAGAATTTGTTTATGAGATAAAAAAAAAAGAAAAATTATCAATCAAACAACCAAAAATCTGAATTGAATTCCTTCTTAGATTCTCACAGGAAAAAATGAAGGAATCAATGGATAGACACTATTGTCAAAAAGAAACAAGAAAGTAGTTAAATGAAAACTCCAACTCTTAAACCAAGCTGCATTACAAGCATGGCCAGTCTTCTAGCCAAGCCAACATCGAATCAAATAGGCCACTTTTAAAATGTATTCAGCATTTTGGGATATTAATAATAGATGATTTGATCTTTATCAAGAATATAAAAAGACAGCGTCTCTGGAAAGAGAAGCCTTTTAGCATTGTTTGTTGTTTCATCTCATCATATTCAAAGTCTTTTCTAACTTATCTTTCTTTTTTCGTAGAGCCATACTTTTTGTAATAAAATAAATGGCCTATCAAGGTTCTTCTGGAAGGTTCAGGATTTCAAATGGTATCAAAATAGGTCAAGAAATAAATCTACTAATCCTCCGTAATTCGTATCAATTCAAATAGCTCAATTATTTAATTAATTTTACCAAACAAAGCAGTCAAAATGGATGACAGTCTCTTTAAATAATGGCAAAGCCGAACAAATATAACAGAAATTATGCCCTTTAACATTGAAGTAGAATAACAGAAATTATGCATAATTGTAATTATTTTACCATAATAATAAACATAAACAACTATCAGATTCATGAACTGGTCTAAAGATCCTAAACTAGTAACAATAATTACATTTCATATCAGAGGCGGAGGGAGGGGGCAGGAAAAATGGAGAAAAATACCCGTTTTTGCAGCGGAATATCGACGGTGGAATATCAACAACGAATGGAAGCTTTGGTAGGGCTTGGTAACTTTGTTTTCTCCCATTTTTGCAGTGTGTAATCAGTAATGTGTATCAGTGTATGTGGCTGGGCAGTTGCATACATTTTGTAATTGTGTGCCTAGTGTGTTATTTTTAAAAGAAGGTCCAACTAATGAAAGTGGCTTGCTTGTTATGCACGAATTGGATTAAGAAATTACAAAATTCTAAGAAATTATACTTTAAATTCTAAAAACTATAATTTAATAAAATTTATATAAGAGAATTTATAATTGAATAAAATATTTTTTTGATTAAAAAAAGTTCGGTTCGATTTGGTTTTTTGCGATTTTTGAAAATTGAAACCTAAACCAAACCATTTTAAAGCGGTTTGGTTCCGTTTGAGGAAAATAAAATCGCGGGTCCACATGGACCCAAACCAACGGTTTCAAACCAACGACTTCAATTTGATTTGCAATTTCGTGATTTTTTTGTGCAGCCCTAGCCGGAAGTTAAACCAGACAAAACGTCATTACTCGGCACATGAAAAAGAATTGTTGGCAGTAGTCCATTATCTCAGAGGATGGCATCACTATCTGCTTGGGTCTCCATTTATTGTGAAGACAGATAACACTACAGTTAGTCACTTCATGTCCCAACCAAAACTATCGAACAAATAGGCTCGTTGGCAGGAATTTCTTTCAGAGTTCAATTTTATGTTAGAGTATCGTCCCAGCTCTAGTAATCATGTTGCTGATGCTCTTAGTCAACGGGCCGATTTAGCTGCCATCTGCTCCGTAGCTGCTCTTTCAGGGAGCGCAGTCTTCACGAATACTAGAGACCAAATTCGGGCACTTATGGAGAAGGACTCGGCTACCCAATATTTGGTCGACCTCATCAAGTAGGGTAAAACTCGATAGTTCTTGCTCGATGGGGAACTAGTGAAGACAAAGGGAGAATGCCTATATGTTCTTAAGGGTAGAGATCTGAGGAAATCACTAATTACAGAATGCCATGACATAATTTGGGCAGGGCATCTCGGAGAGTAACGCACTTGTGTACTACTACAACGTGCATACTACTAGCCTCAAATGCGGGATGACATTGCAACATATGTAAAAACCTGTCTTATTTGTCAGCAAGATAATGCAGGTCATCAGAAAAAGGCGGGCTTGCTGGAGCCCCTTTTCGTCCCAACCCGGCCATTCGAAAGTGTATCGATGGACTACATTATTGGGTTACCAAAAGTTAAGGATTTTAACACTATCATTGTCGTAGTGGACCGTCTATCAAAATGTGCAACTTTCATTGCAGCGCCTAAATATGTATCTGTGGAAGAGACAGTTTAACTCTTCTTCAAATATATTGTCAAATATTGGGGGCTGCCTAAGGACATCGTCAATGATCGAGATCCTCGTTTCACTAGCATATTTTGGACTGAGTTGTTCAAACTTCTTGGTTCAACTTTGAGCATGAGTTCTAGTTTTCACCCACAATCTGACGGACAGACGGAGTGCTTCAATTCTATGCTAGAAGAATATCTTCGGCACTTTATCTCTACTTCATAGAAAAACTGGATAAAACTTTTGGATGCGGCCCAAATTTGCTTCAATGCCCAAAAGAGCTCTTCTACCAATAAGAGTCCTTTTGAGATTGTTACTGGCCAGCAACCGCTACTCCCTCATACAGTGGATATCGAATGAAGTACCAAGTCCCCTCAAGCAAAGAACTTTTCTCAAAAGTGAAAACGAAATATTGAAATTGCTCGGAGTTATCTTGAGAAAACTCAAAAAGGGTATAAAAAGGCTGCAGATCTAAAGCGCTGTTTCATTGAATTCAATGTTGGAGATCTGGTAATGGTTAAGCTTCCTAACAAAAATGTTTACAAACCAACAAGAGGGAAGGACTCAAGATTGTCGCCAAAATACATTGGAACATTACCCATCGTGAAGAGGATTGGAAGAGTTGCATACAGAGTTGAACTCCCTTCATGGTGTAAAATCCACAAGGTCCTTCATGTTAGTGTGTTGAAGTCATACTTTGCAGATAAGGAGGACGCATCTAGAAATGAGCCAAATCGACCTGTGTTTGAATTGAAGAAAGCTGGAAAGAAGGTTATTGAAACTATTCTTGACCATCGAATCACTCGAGCTTCTAGAAAAGATCATCAAGAGTACTTGATCAAATGGATGGGATGCAGCAGCAAGGAGAATACTTGGGAAAGAGAAAAAGATCTCGGAGCCTTCAAACCATTAATTGAAGTATATCATGCATTGATAGCACCGAGAACATCGCCAAAACAAATGGGGAAGAATGTCAAGGACCACAGCTTTACTTAGCCCATTGACACTATCGCAGTCGCAGTTTGCCCAACTTCGGCTGCACATTGTAAATATTACTTCAAGTTTGAGTTGTAATTTCTTTTCATTGTAATAGTTATTTCAGTTGTAAAATAGCTCTCATATTGGTAAACATTTAGTATGATTTCTCGTCTTTTAAACGTCTACTCCTATCACTTGGATTTTTGTTCAGAATGCTATTATAGGGGGTATTAGTCATTCAAAAATCTTTCAAGTTCACTGGTATCCGCTCCCTGCACCAGCAATTGTAATTTTCTGCTTTTGTCAATTGTAATGTTCAGTTTTCATAAATCAATGTTCAATTTACTTTCAATATATTCAAATTCTCTATTGTAAGCTTTCTACAAAATTGTAATCAAATTTTCTTTCGTCCCGACGCGATCAAGAAAAGGCGGAATGTAGTCTAGCGAAGCAGACTACTGCCGCACGGTGTCCCTTTCTGTGCCAAGAAGAAAGGCACCCCGTGAAACAAGGTCGCCACTCTAGGTTCTAAAACTCCAAGGGACAGGGCTTTACAACCTCATGAGATTGCACCATCTTATGTTTTCTTAGCCTCCCAAGATTCCTAACGATCTCGAATATTAGACCGTACTACACAATACAATTTTTCTTCTTTAACATTGTTCAGTTTTATCTCATTTAGCTTAGCATGCACGAGGAAACATATATATAGCTCATTGTGAAAACAAATATTTGTCTTTGTAGGTGGGATGATAATCAATGGGTGACTCTATTACACAGCTTCATGGGTGGGGTGCTATATCATCAACTCTGCTAGTTTTTGTAGAAGGATAAGCCTTAATTTACATAAAATATGTGCATAGAGATATCCACACCCCTAACCAAGGGTGGAACTCACTGCGAGAGTCTTAATGTACATAAAATATGTGCATAAGAGTGTCCACACCCCTCACATAGGGTAGGACCCACATCGCACGGGTCCCTCCCCGTGTGAGAGGTCGCCTATGCATCCAAATTATGTACACCAAGCACAACCTCTTGTAAAATTCCAGTTGTGTAATGAAGGAAAGGTAAATGAAGACTTGTGTTTTGTTCTTTTTGTCCGTTAATTATGTAGGATATTGTCCAGTCGAGTGTACCAATTAAAATCAGCAGCAACAAAAAATGAAATAAAAAACAAGTTACTAGGTCGATGGAGACCACAGATGAGTCATTACAGCAACAAATTTAATTGCAAATCCACAGCACCCCAAGGAAACAATTTCACAAACTATGATCTTCAAGAAAAAATATAATTAGATTTCTCTCGACCAAGCCAATTTTAAGGGTTCTTATCCCTTGATATTTATCACATACAAAAACACTATACTTGATAAATCCAAAAAGCCTCTGCCTTTACTTCAAGAGTTCTTCAACCTGGTCCTAGCTATGAACATAAACTTCTTCAGTGCAATCATTAGGACCCATGTAGTCTTTGTGATCTTCTCCTTTATCATCAAAAGGAATGCTGAGCTAAGGACAGTCTTCAGGATTTGGGCTTGTAACCCTTTGACGAAGCCGAATGCACCTTCTTTTTTCCAAATGGCACGAAGTGCCCCTGAAATTGTTTTCTTGGAGTTTGTTTGAGTTTTATCTTCCTCATCTTCGTCTGACTCAGTTGACTGAATCATCACCTTACACCTGTCCATAGCCAAGATTTTAGCCTAATAGCATATGATAACTAAGCAACACGAGTTTTCCTATGCACCAAGTCCTAAACCTTACTTAAACTAGCAAAGGACGGACAGATTTTAATGGTTTACCCCTTAATGTGAGAACTACGTCGATTTTGGCGCTACTGATCTTTACTATTGAAGAGAAGAAGAAGAAGAAGAAGAAGAAGACAAGGTGAGCCACACTTGTCACACATAAAAACACCGGCCTCTTAAAACCCTTTATACAGTAGATATATTAGGTAGATCTGCAGTCGGGAATAAGTGTACTGTATGATTAAGCTTCACAGAGTTCAACAAGTTCGGCTTCTCTTTGAATGCTAGTCTTGAAAGGTTGAGTAGAGTATATGATCTCTTCTATTTGATGAAAGAAAATAATGAGTAGATATTTACCTTATTGCTGGATAAGTTACACAGGTAGCAATGCATTTTGAGACTGCACCTAACAGAAAAGCAGAAAATGCAGAAAGAGCTGCTTGAGATGATACATCATCTCTAATTTTGCTCATCTTCTCCTTCAATAATCTCTGCTTTAATTGATCAAACACTGTGTACTGCATGACATTATAATGAGATATAAATGGGATACTGCATCATCATCCAAATAATTTGTCCCAATTCATTTCAAACAAGACAGCTTTTGTAGAGGAAGAAAAACCATCAACCTGAATGGAAGGATTTGCTGTAAGAAGAAGAGAAATGCCTAGACCATCAAATGCCTCACTCCAAGTGTTCTCTGAGAGGGTTTTCCAGAGCCCTTTGGATTTCCCAAAAGCACTTGTTTGCATTTTTGAAGATGCTGTATCCAGAGGCTGAATAAATAAAACCAGAATGAGGATACTAAAAGAGAGTACTGAGGTCGCATGGTTCTGACAGTACAGACTGTAGTGGTGCTATTGTGTCTTCACAGTAAATACAAATCTACAAGCTACAAAGTGCTGTGCAATTTTTTTCTTTAAATCAAGCACGACCCTTCAACATCTTTATCAAATCACAGTGATTGCCCTAAATGGTGGTTTGGATTGTATATGGCCTCTCCTTAATTCTCAAAGGTATGCTCAAAAAATTATGACGCGTTATTGTAGCAGTATAAATAAAGGCTTGAACTCAGCTTTTCAATCTGAGCTGAGATTATTATAAATATCTTCTTCAAATTTCAGCTACCTGAACTTACAATTTCATGCACATGATAGGGATTATGAAAATCTTATACACCCAATCATCTATTTATGAATACTGCCCTTTCTCATGGTTAAAATCACATGATCAATGAAAAGAACGACTTGCCTGTGTCACTATAACGGTGCATGCACCAGAAGCAGCAGCAAGAATCAAGTTAGCTTTTGTTCCTATAGCATTAAATCCACTTTTCTTCAAGTAGAGTCTCTTTAAGAAGCTGTATCCATAGAAGTAAATAAATGATGAAATGAAAGATTGGAAGTTCTTCGTCGTTAAGCCCTGGTACAGTGAAAGTATTCGACCTGTGGAAATTGCTTCCCAAAGGACATCTGAGATTTTCCTGTGTGCAAAGCAAAGAGCAATCAATTAAGCTTAGTACCTTCCAAGAAATTGATCTTTATCTTCATTGACATAATTCAAGGCTGAATCGAGCTTTATTTAAACCTGTCTAGCTTTTATTGGCAGCAAAGATCATCAGAAATTTCAACAAAGACCAATTTATCAGTTCAAGCACAAGAGTCGTGAATGATATTGGCTAGAGAAAGCTGGAAAAGACCAAGGGGCAACACACCCTGTGCCTGCTATAAGCATTCGTGTGAAGAGGTCAAGGCACAAGGGTATCAAATTCGAATAACTGGAGAAGCATAAGACAATTATAGCAAACATTTCAAAGGATCTTAACTCAGGCCTTCTAAAAAGCTCATGTTTTTACCTTTTTGTTTCACATTCAAATTATAATTACACTTTTCACGGTTTAAAAAATTCCAACAGAGATCCACCTTAAGGGAATTTTTTTGGAGGTACGCCTCAAGCCAACAAAACATAATAATTTTGATATATCCATTTTGGGAATAGCCCATTACCCACAAAAACATTAAAAATTTGTGTTTCATAGATACTCTATTGCACGGACACTTCAACTAAGACAGCGTGTCCGTGTCCGACACGTGTCGAATACCGACACTCATCGGACATTCTAGCATGATCATTTTTCTTTTTTATTAAAAATATTATATATTTTCTATTCAAAGTTATTAGCAAATAACAATCATATTTAAAAGATTTTAACTTGAAAAATTATTAAGTATAAAATTAAATTTATACTAGTAACTGAAGAATTTTAAAGAATTTAATCAACGTGTCGTGTCTATACTGTTATGAAAAATTGCATATCAGCGTATCCGACATATATTGTGTCAGACATATGTGTCCGTGTCAGAATAGTCCACAACCCCGACCAACTAAAAGAATAGTTTATTTGTAAATTTTTCTTTTGTTTGTTTGTTGGACCTTTTTGAGGAAGTTTATTTGTAAAATTTTCTTTTGTTTGTCTATAATATACTAGAACTATTTTTGCACTTTAATTTTGTTTTGACATTTTTTGGTTTGCGGTGAGGTTTAGCCTCAAAACCTTGAGGCGTACGCCACGCCTCATTATTCAATTAATCATTATTTGTTTGATCTGATTCCATGTCCCAAGATAAAGATTCTATCTTCAAAAGATGCACAGAAATTAGAACACACTGCAAAAGACTGAAACTTCATACTGCAACTTAAAAAACATCTAGTCCAGGTTCCACCAAAAAAACCCCCAAAAACATCAAATCTCTCTCTCCTATTCAATTTAATGGAGGACTTCTCAACTCTTATGATTCTCAGCCTGACATTCTAGGAACTGTCACATGAAATCTGCCCAGGTGCATCTGCACCCAGAGTGGACACGAAAGTAATGAATTCTTAGAGGCGAAACCAAACTATACAACCTAACTACCAGGGATAATCGAGGTAAGACAAGCACATGTGCACAAGAATTACTCCGCCAAAAACACATCAAATCCATATTGACAAGTAGGAGATAATCAAGTTCATATCAAAAAATCATATGTGGAACTCCAATTTCTCCTATTGAAATATAAAACATATATAAAGTTCGAAGTGCTCCACCATTCTGATTTTCCTACTGCTACTCTTTGGGAGACCCTAGCTCCAAATGCCATATAAGGAAACTCATAAACTAATTATTTTCCAACTAAACCAGACAACACACTCTTTGCTACTAAAGATAATTTACATTTTTTATTTTTTTTTCAAAAATTCATCAAGCATCAAAGTATGCCCAAAAGACCATAACTTTTCAGTTATCCAGTTTCCTCAGCATCCTAAAAGGCAATAATAACAAACAACCAGATTAAATTGAATTCAAAACTCAACAAAACCATCAAATTCATAAATATTTTTCAGAATTTTGAATGATACCGAAAAATTCCAAAAATAGAAAAATCACGTGTAATGGGCCCACTCAACCAAGATATTGAAAGATATCTAGTGAAAAACAAATAAAAACATTTTTTTTTTTCAAAAATTCATCAAGCATCAAAGTATGCCCAAAAGACAATAACTTTTCAGTTATCCAGTTTCCTCAGCATCCTAAAAGGCAATAATAACAAACAACCAGATTAAATTGAATTCAAAGCTCAACAAAACCACCAAATTCGCAAATATTTTTCAGAATTTTGAATGATACCGAAAAATTCCAAAAATAAAAAAATCACGTGTAATGGGCCCATTCAACCAAGATATTGAAAGATATCTAGTGAAAAACAGATAAAAACAATACCTGTATTTTTGGTGATTGTGAGCACGATTTTCAGCTTGATACTTTGTCTTGCAAGTATCGAGAGGATACAATATGGTGGTGCTTACCACTGCTCCAACTGCACCCGATGTTGCTTCAACTATAGATTCCATATCAAAAAAATCTTCAAATGCATCTAAAAATTCCCAGTCAGTATACTATATAGAGTATCAAAAATTAATTAATTTTTTTTTTTTTTTTTGGCGTGGATTCGGAGGTGGGGTGTTGACCGGAGGTTCGTATTGGGATTCTGAAAGAACGGGCTTTTCTTTATTTATTTATCTGCTGCGAGGATATGAGAAGCGGGGGGATGGGGTGGGGCGGGGCGGCGTGGTTTTCACGAGTCAAATAGACTTGGAACTTTGACTCGAAGTCGTGTAAAACATTTGCCCACATTTTTCACATTTGTTTTTCGTACATGGAGGGAGTGACGAAAAAAAAAAAAGTAAATTTGAAAATCAATAAATTTTGTAGTTAAACTTCTATTAAGTTATAATCTCCTAGTGGTACTAAATGAGTTTGATCTCAACATTATGATTATAAAGATGTTGTAGTGAGATGATTTGTGCAACTGTCCGCTTGTCTCAAGATGTGCAAAGGCTGAATTTGAACCCAGAAGGCAAGAAATTCCAATATTTTTCTTTAGTATACTGAATGTGTTTCAAGCATTGCATTTGTCCAACTTGCGTTCCTAACAGGTGATAAGCCTCGGATAATTCAGCTATTAGGCTCGACGTATATCTCGTGTTACTCATAAATATTTTCTTGGTTGAACTTAAGTTTATATACATTTTTCACATTAGTAGTATAAATTCATGTTTTCTTTGGATTAAAATCAGATTTTTAGTAAATTTTACTCAACCACGCTCCTTGGTCGTTCTAGTTGGGTTGAATTTGAAGTACTTTGTCTCAGACCTTTTTTTCTTTAAAAATAAATCAAACGTCATCTTATACTTTAAATTATTAAAATGAAATTAAGCCACCTTTAAGGTTAGATAAAGAAAATTCATTAAAATTTAATAAATTATGTGGTTGAAAAGTTGATAAAAATATTGAGTCCCACGAATTTGAGAAAAAGGAAGAATATCTAACTAAGGCCCTAATAATTATATCCCAATTCAAATTTAAGAAAAAATGTTTAAAAATTCAAAACTAATGTTATAATTAATAAATATTATATATAAAATAATATATTATATATTTAAAATATTATGTATCCTCCACTCACATGGTGGGGTTCATGTGGGTGAAGGATAACATTATGTACACATAGCATCCCCCTTTTTTTCTATCCCTATCCTCCTCTCTCTACCTTCTTTCTTTAACAGTGGTGCTCATCGTCGGCATTGCTTAGCGGCGAGCTAGCTATGCTAGAAGAGGTGCAACGACACTAATTGTGCAATGGCACGCCTCTGTAAGCGGCGGCACTTACAAGGCAGTGGTTGAAGATTGTTGGTGATTTTGCGTTTTGTATAGGTGGTGGTGGAGATAACTATAGCGGATGGATCAGATCCAGTGTAAATTTTTGGTGGTGTAATTTAAACCATATGTAAATCGTTATTTGTGATGTCAAACCATGACCCGTGATCAGTTATTTTGGATATGAGATCTTTAGATACTGATTCAATGGCATGTCACTAATTTTCTCTTTCATGTGTTACCTGTAGACACTGATCTTATCTATACAAAATGGCATGCGACTGTGAACTATTACCTATGACCTATAATACATAAACTGTGACATGTGAATTTGATCTATGACTTTTGATCTGTGCACAAAGACTTGTGACATTTTATATGTGACTAGGGTTGACAATGGGCCGAGCCGGTGGCACGAGCTCGGCTCGTGGCTTGTTTTCAACGAGCTGAGCTCGAGCTCGGCTCGTGAGCTTGTCTATTTTTTTTATTTTTTTTTAATAAAGAATAGAGTTTTAAAAATAAAAAGTATTAAAAATACAAATAATTTAATGAAAACAAGTTTTTATTTTTTTTATTTATATCATATTGTAATTTGTAATACTTTTTATAAAGTATAAAATATTTATATAATGAAAACGAATTATTTTTTGAAATACATTTACAAAAAATATATATTTTTGATTTCTTTATAAAGTTAATAAAGAATAGAGTTTTAAAAATAAAAAGTGTTAAAAAATAAAAATACTTTAACGAAAACAAGTTTTTATTTTTTTTATTTATATTATATTGTAATTTGTAATACTTTTTATAAACTATAAAATATTTGTATAATGAAAACGAATTATTTTTTGAAATACATTTATAAAAAATATATTTTTTATTTCTTTTTAAAGTTAATAAAATGTAAATCCTCCTCCTTTATTTGGGTTTGTGACCGGCTACATCAATTTTAAGTAGGCGGAGTTAAAAATTGTACACGAACAATTTGTTGTAACGTGTACAATTTTTTAAAGAAAATTAAATTTAACGATTAAAAAATAAAAAAAATTGATTAATATAATTAAATCAAATATCACTTACCTGATGACATGCAATTTCAGCGTATTTATCTTGTAGTCGAAAATGAGCGTCTTGTCAATCATTCACACACATTATCGCTTCCAAAACATCTTCTTTCAGTCGGCTCTATACATCGGTCAAAACCCTTTTACCTACACTAAAAGCAGATTCCGAAGCAACAGTGCTAACCGGAGGTGTCAATAGATCTTTCGCAATTGTAGAAACAATTGGCCAGCGTCTTTCATACTTTCGTCAGAATTCAATTACATCTTTTGAAATTTTTTTAATTGTTCTGTCTGTTGGCATATTATGATTGAAATAATCAATTAATTCGGCA